ATATGTGTATATGTGTATATATATATATATATATATATATATATATATATATATATATATATATATATATATATATATTGGGTGTATATACTATGTATGCTTATCATCCATTCACAAACTGTATATAATATACTGTATGTTTACATGCAACCAAATAATCCGTTTGTAATCGGATTGATGGCTCAATCGGACTGAAAAGCCTTCATGTAAACACCTTAATCGATCCGATTGAGCTTGATCAGAATGAAATTTCGATCAGATTGAAAGGGGTGGTTTATTCCTTTTCTAATACGATTGAGAGTGCATGTATACACTCGATCGGATTGAACCCCGAAAACTAAAAGGACTGCGCATGTGCAATGACGCAGAAATAACGTAATGACGTACAATCGGACTGACGAGCGGTTCTTCCTTTTGAATAAAGTGTTGTATAAATGCGTGTCCTGTCATTATAAAACTCTCCTTTCATTCGGCAACTGTGAAGTGGAGCAGGACAACCTCCCACCAGTCCTTGTTTTGGATTCTCATCCACAGGCAATGCGTTTTGGACGTGGGGAGGGGCATTTTTACGGCATGATAAATATGAGCAACACAGCACAGCGGTTTATATGTATATTTATCCATAAATGGATAAATATTAATTCTGCTGTTAAAAACAAATAAAGAAACCGTGTAGGAGAGTGGTTATTATGTGCAAACAGTGAGAAACTCTATATTTGTGCAGTGTGCGCAAAAATAAAAAATCCAATTTGAAGCTTGTGACATATAAACACGCACATCAACCCAATCACTTTATTTAGCGTTCATGTAAACACTACATTCAGATTCATCAATCGGAATCAATTCCGTCCGATTGAACCAAAAATTGTGCATGTAAACGTAGCCACTGACTGTAATATAAAACACTTTTCATCCATCCTGTCATACTTTTAAAAATATTGATATGTGACCCTGGACCACAAAACCAGTCGTTTTGACTACCAGTATAAATAAGCTTTCCATTGATGTAAGGTTTGTTAGGATAGGACAATATTTGGCCGAGATACAACTATTTGAAAATCTGGAATCTGAGGGTGCAAAAAAATCTAAATATTGAGAAAATCGCCTTTAAAGTTGTCCAAATGAAGTTCTTAGCAATGCATATTACTAATCAAAAATGAAGTTTTGATATATTTACGGTAGGAAATTTACAAAATATCTTCATAGAACATGATCTTTACTTAATATCCTAATGATTTTTGGCATAAAAGAAAAATTTATAATTTTGACACGTACAATGTTGTTTTGGCTATTGCTACAAATATACCCCAGCGACTTAAGACTGGTTTTGTGCTCCAGGGTCACATATCACTAAAAGTAATGATAGCTTGACTCCGTATACCGATTCCGTTAATTCTGTAAGTTAATTCAGTGAAGGAACCACTGGACTGATTCAAATGGTCTCCTGAGTATGTCTGGAGTCTGTTTGATGGATTGAATGACTCATTTTCATCGTTTTTGAATCGATCTGTACTTGTGCAGTATCTTTTTTATTAACTACAAAGTAACGGTACATAAAAGTAATTTGTTAATCAATTGGATTACTTTTGCTATGCTCTGTTTTTATTTACTAAAAAGAACCAGTTCTTTTTACATAGTCTTAAATCTTAGTAAACTCAAATTCAACTAAATGCTAAAAGTCTTTGTTCACACAGATGTGGGCCCTTGCCCAAGCCATACCCAGTTCCCACTGTTCTCATGAAACTCAAGGATCTTTCTCTACAAATCATTGTACACATTAGCTAAAATCCTCAGTCAAATTAGTATAAAACTGAAGGCTATTATTTTCTCTTTTTTTAAATTTCCTACAATCTCTCTTGGAAACGTTCATGGATTCTGTGCCTGGCATAATAACCTAACCTCATATGACCCCTGAGAAATTTGATGTATCGAGTTGCATTATTCACACTCACTCTGCACGCCTCATAAGTCCTGAATACATTCCGAGTTCTCTGTGGTCTTGCATTCCTGACTTCTGTGGTTTGACCTTGATGGCCATCTTGTTTGAGGAACTGCATTCTTAACAGCGTCTACACAGGATTACATTGAAACAAAAGTTGACCTGATCCAAATGAGTAAAAAAAAATCCCACAGTTGTGGAACGTGCTCTTTCAATATGCAAAAAGAAAAGCTTTAGACTCTGTTTATACAGTATGCTATGTGATAAAACCTCAAGCAATACAAGCTTTCGCTTCCAGCTATCTCTTGTAAATCTGATGCAGCCGTGATAAGTTACAGGACATCCTATCATTCTAAAGCATGCTAGCAAGATGTTAAAACATGTTAGAAACGTGCTAAAATAGCTTAGGAGCATGACAGTAACATGCTAAACTTAAAACATGCTAGCAACATGCTCAAACATGTTAATCTAATAGATTATACTTTAATATTCGAACAGAGTAAATCACGCTAGCAACACCAAGTAACACAGGCCCGAAAAACAGCGTGTTTCTGCTTCCACTCAAAATAAGCATTTTCAAAATGATATAATAAATTGTCTGTGGAGTATTTTGAGCTGAAACTTCACAGACACATTCTGGGGACACCCGAGACTTATATTACATATTGTAAAAAGGGGCATAATATGTTTTAATAAAGATTGTATTAAAGATGATCAGCCTTTGTGTTCTGCTTTTTTTGTCCTAGTTTTGTTTCTTGAGCGAAGATTAACTGAAATTTGTGTTCAGTTCCAGGAGCTCCAGCTGGACAGGGATTCCTTGTTAGTAACCAATCGGAGTCTTGCAGAAGAGAGCCTTTCACAACGCCCTCACCTTCAAAACGGCAAGCTGCAGTTGGCTGCAAAGTACAAGGAACTGGCAAAACTGACCACTGCCTGCAGGGAAAAGCAAAGCCGACTTGGTGAGTAGAGGTTTAGGGTCTTGCGCGAGTGGTGTTGTGAATGCTAAGTACACCAACTGTTTCTCATTTTCTTCATGGTTCAACACACATTGTGTTGTTTGCTTTTTATATTAGCTATATCTAGGGCTAGGCGATAAATCCATATCAGTATTCACCAGAAAAAATAAGTCCATGATGTTGATTGTCTCGTCTCTCTGTATGAGGAGACTCCAAATTAAATTCTTCTCCAAAGCTGATTTTTCACATCATAGTTTCATTTGATAAAAGGTACTGTAAAATACATTTTGAAACTCAAAAATCTTCACGACAAACCACCAAAATAAATATTTGTTTTACCTTGTAGAATAATGCCACAAATATATTACTATTGTATACAATTTGGGGGAAAAAATTTAATGGATTTTATGGGGTCCTAAATTAAAAGATTACTCAGTGGAATTTGCTTTTAAACAAACAAAGTTCTTTTTACATCCATTCTCAACAAACATTCAGAATGCATTTATTACAACAATAATGGTATGAAATTAATATTGATATTGAATAATATGAAAATAATTGTAATTTCTGTAATATTTTTGGTTATTTCGTCCAGCCCTAGCTATACCATAGTATATAATCATTAGTTCTGGTCCTCTAATCTGAGCGTGCAGCAAGGAAAATACAGGAAGTGTAGGAGATGCTTTTTTTTTTTACTTCACCTGCTTTTTGAGTTAGGCAAAGTTTAAAATGTGAGCCCAACACAATTGTGTCATGATAGAACGTCTTTCAGGGAAAAATGATTCTGTGCTCCTCCCCAGATTAAAGCAATGTTAGACATAGAGTTCATTTAAGTATGCTGCTAATCTGATGACCGATATCTGATGATACGCCGGCTGTTGACTGAGCAGTTTAAGAATAGCATCGGGACACTGCTGTCATGTGCTTCTGCTGGTAATATTTCAATATCGCCAGGCAACATTGTTCCATAATAACACACCCTGATGTCCGGAGCTCCTCATTTATTCAATGCAAGAACGGCTGACATGCTGACCTATGCCTGGATTGTTGATCCGTCCAGCTGCGATATCTCCAGCGTTACCTTCAATCGCCCCCTCACCAGGGTGGAGTGTAGCGGTCAGGTCCCAAAGGGGTAGTCTGGGGCCACAAGGTCCCCACTTGGCTTCCCCACCAGTCCAGGAATAACTGCCCTCATCTGGATCAGACGTACTTAAGGTGCTGAGGTTTCACTTCCCAAAGTTCCTCCTGGGTTCACAGGGACTTGTTTTCCTTTTTCTCTCAGCGTGGCCAGAATAAGAGAAATATTATTGTGTTCTTCTACGGTCTTCCTCTCTTGGCTGAATGCTCAGCTTGAGTTTCTCATGCCCCATCTTTTTTATTGGCCCGCTGACATGGCATGTCGATTATTAGCTTGTACAACAGAGAGCTTGTGAGTTAGAAATCAGTCCTTTTGTTATTGTTTTCTTTATTATTTTAGGCATCAAAGTTCATAATGGTACATGGTCAGGATTTGAGCATTGATTCTTTTCAATGGTTAAATAGTCCATCATACTGAATGTAAAAACAAATAAAAACATGTTTATAGTAAGTCACTTACAATGGACGACTGTTGGGCGATCATACTGGAGGTTTTACAAGCAGAAATGTAAATGAGGTTTTTTACAGTAAAACTTATTCAGTAAAAATGTGTGAACTTGGCCTTGACTACTTTTCTAGGTGGATGAACTTCTGGTTAAAGTGTTATCATGATTCCTGTAGGTGAAATTTGTTCCAGGTAAACAGTGCTTTATAGATATATAGATACTCAAATTCCTTTCTGTTATGCTTTTATATATATCATGCAAATGTGAATATATTTACTAGGTTTACAGGGTCATAACATGAATTGAAAGATCTATTTACATGCTAACATGTAAATTGAACTAATACGTGAATCTGCTCTTTAAAATGCTTAAAATATGATATACTTGGCACATCTGGATATGACTCTTCAGTGCGCTTTTCTCAGGTCTCATTAATAAGGATGGCCATTGACCGTGGGCCAATGTGAAAGACCAGTGCTGTGTACTGAATATGTTATGTTAATGTATCTGTTTTTATGCTCTGCAAACTTAAATGTTTGGTTTTCTGTGATGTACTCTACATTGTTGATGCAAATTATGCTGATTTATCATTAGGATAATGTTATCTAGCTAGCTAAAATCAATTCAAAAATAAATAATTTATTGAAAAATGTAAATATTTATAAATAGCAAGCATAAAATACATTACTAGAAATAAAAATTCATCGTTCTTTTCTGATAGGCCAGTGAAAATGTTTGCAAGGTAGGAACAACTGGCTCAACTTGGTCAGCAGGAAAAAAAATTATTGTTTACCCATGGTTCTCCATCATTTGCTGAATTAGTGCTGCTGTGATCAGTAGAAAATGTACTCATCCAATTTAAAAGACGTTCTTAACCAGGATGCAACATTAACTGTGGACGGCAAATAGCTTTGTGAATAAGACCTATAATGAGCCTATTTTACATAGAATTGAGCTGTGTTTTGAGCTAAAAAAGAATGACAGAAACTAATGAATTAAACCGTATGAGTTTAAGTACTAGTTGATGCTCAGTTTAAGCATGTTAAGGGTCTTGTATTGTGGGTGGACAGTAAAATACCACATTCAAAAGTGGTACTACTGTTTAGTTTTACTCTGTTTGTTTAGGCAAACAACAAGTATCTGTTGTGTACACTGATTTTTGTTTGCAAAGGAAACTGCTTAAATGAAGTGGCCAAGCTGGGATCTCAGAGGAAAACGTTGGAATTCTGGAAATCTTTCTCTGGAATTCTTGCTCCGCCATCGTTCTCCTGTGTGCATAAATGATTTAGGCATGCGGTGACTGTGCAGACTACAAGATTAGCCAGTTGCATTAATTCATGTAGGATCACACCGTATATATTTCCGCTGTAGCCCACAACATTGACCCAACTTTCGTACTTCTGGGCCCGCCTTTCAGCCCTTAGACCATAGAGGCCGATATGAATTATTTGTTGACTTTTTTGGCCCCTCCTCACCATTGTGCAGCTCAACTAGTGATGCAGATCCATTTGAAAGGCCTTTTGTTTGAGACCCCACCTCCAGTGGCGCTTAAAGAAAAGGCAGAGATTCATATGATAGTCAGAAAGTATCACCCTCCGACCCACCCCTTCACCCGAGAGCCCGGGAGCGTCTGGGAACCGAAATCTGAAGGAGATAGCTGAAAAAAGTTGCCGGAGTGAAATGCCAGCAGGAAATTGAACTGTTTTGAACGGGCAGAAAGGAGGAGGAGACGGTGGGGTTCCTTCGGTGTCCAACTGAGCAACAAAAGATCAGCGGAGATATCTGCTAGTCTGCTTACACGCTCTGACAGAGCTTGTACAGGAAGTTCGCATCTCCATGGCCACACGGGCAAAGATCCACTCAAGAAACACTCTTTTCCTTTGCTCTCGCAGCTGCCGGTTAGTGACAGAAGGAGGGTGGAATGTTCACCTTCCTGTCACCATGTAGTGCACATGTACCAGTGCCTCCAGCTGCAGGCTACAGCCGGATGGGTGGGAGATCATTCCCCCAACACCAAACATCTGATTCTCATTCCCTCAGAGCCGAAAGAAAGAATGAAAAACCGTTGGATTGCTCCATCATCTGAGACCGAAGTTCTGGCTCAGAGGCTTGCGAGTTATTGCGTAATATGCCGTTGCTGCGACAGACGTTAGGAGAAGAATTTGGCTCTGGAAGGTGCACTACTTGTTTCTTCATGGGAATTCAATCTAGCTTGATGATGCCACCATTCCGGGCGGTTTCGTTCCCACTCAGACTTTCCAATTTGCTTTTAATGCTTTCGCCAAATGTGTACGAGCATGACTCAAGATTGTTTAAATCTCCTGTTCCTACTGTTCCCCCTCACATGTGGCCGACGGCACATTCTTGACCTGTGCTGGTATGCGATAGACTATCCATCCTGCTTCAAAAGCAAAGAGCACCACGAGTGCCCTTTTATTGTTAACTTAGCGTAACGACACAGTTTGCCCGAGGCCCGACCTGCTGACCTTTCACACACACTGCAACCTATCATTGACATCTCAACACATACCCGCAGAACTTTCACCAAACTGGTTATCAAACGTTCACCCTTTACCACAAAAACCCTCAACTCCTCCAGAAGGGGGGTCAGCCGTCATTGCGATCATGAAAAGGGCATCTATGTCTCAAAGTGCCTGTAAATCACATGGAGAAGAGGCATGCTGGGGCAGCCAAAGAGGCTGGGGAACTCTGTGAGAGTGCATAGTTCTTACTGATGGAGGAGTTAGTAATTAACAGGATGTGAAGTCACTCTGGCCCTCTCTCAGTGTTTGAATGCAGGGGCCAGTTATCAAAGCTGGATTAGGGCCATTGAGCTACCACACACGAGGCCTTAATCACTCAGTGGGAGAAAGGGGCCTCTCACAAGCTTTTGAAATCAATCTCCTGAGAATCCAACCCAAACTGGGTACTCCACGCCAAAAGCCCTTAGAAAAAATAAACTTGATACATTGTTGACATTTCTGCGTTGACTCTTTCACATTGGCTTAAGCTCAGTGACACTGCAAGGGAGGGGAAACTAAATGCTTTGCTGAATATTAGGAAAATAGCTAAAATATTTTCATAACAAATACCACTAATAAGCATAAATTGTCTGTAGTATGGTAGATTGTGCACAGTTTGCTCAAATTCTTTTGCAGGACCATATAAGTATTAATATATAAGATATAATTATAACGTAAGACTGTTCTGCTCCTTAATGATCAATTTTTTAAAATACTAAATCTAATACTAAAGTTGAATATCTAAAAAAAGTTGAAAGTTGAAAATAACTTTTCCATTTGAATGTTTTTGTATTTATTCCTTTGATGGCAAAATGTGCTGCTAGATATTTTGTGGAAATCATGAAACATGAAACGGCATTTATTCATTTGATCAATTTAACATATCCTTGCTAAATAA